GGTCCGAGGCCCGGGGGTTGGGGACCTCTGTTGTAGAATGTTGGTGGAACGTTAGAATTTGGAAAACTCACCTGACATCGTTTAGACCTCTTAGAACACACAGGTGGACTTCTTCCTATGTTCTGAACCTTTCAGTCGTCAGCTACTATAAGACACTTGAATTTACAATATTTTTCTTATCTCAAGAGTAATCTGACAACTTATGATAACAAACATGTCCAGACTGAGTTCAGACTGAACTTTGGGGGGGTTAAGTTTTAACCCCCCCAAAATAGAACATCCATATTAGCATCCATGTTCCTTCTTCACTGATGAAAAGTAACTTTCTTCTACGAGTACTGTTTAAATGACACTATCGCAGATTCAGCCCATTTCCCTGGTCTGTCATTGGCTGGGATGTAAAAACCAAGAACTCTATTTTTGTAGAAACAGGTACTTTAATATCTAAAAACAAAAAGAAAACATATGCGCTCTCCCCCTGAAAGTAAAGAAATGATTGTTTTGTAAAGACAGTGTGGATCAGCAAAAACAATGGCAACAATGTTTGCATGAACAGAATAAATAGTGACAGTTTTTTAACCTGGAAATTTAGTGTTTTATGATGTATATTTGACCATAATGTATAAACGGGTATTGTACTATTGTGGCACCAAGTTAATTCCAGGGAGTTCACATGAACTGACTTCACATTTGGCAGACTGTTTGTCAGCGTCATGCACAGCATGGTCGTACACATAAAAACATCAGAGTTACAGAATCACAGAGTGATGAGGACAGGGGGGCGTGGCCTGATGAGTCCAACTCTCAGTCAGTTCACCGAACGAATCGTTCAGGATTTGTAGTCTTTTAGTGTATTTGTTCCAACCCTTTTAAGCTGTTTGCATTTTTGTAAATGATGGTAATTTAATGAAAAATAGCTCATTAACTTAACATAGTGACCAGCTGACACATTCGATGTATTTTGGTATACTTCTAATTTATAGTTTGCATATTTTGATGTAGCATAGAGATGCAGAGACTTCCGCTGCTTCTTCTTATCATTGGCTTTTGTCTGCAAAATGCCTCCACCTACAGTGTAACGTGCACACATGCACACAACATGATATGACAGATTTTGCCTTCCAGGGAAATGATGTCCAGCTTTGCACAACAGATATGTCATGAATCCCATCAACTGCAGTTCCACTCTCATTCCTGTCCACTCTGTACTGAGCATGCTTAGTTTGAAGTTGTCAGAGAGCTGCAAATATGCCACAGCATGTGGAGGGTTAGGGTCTGTGTGTCTGCTGTGTCCACTTGGTAAGTGTGGAGTGTTCTCAACAATCCCCTTCCGTGCATCGTCTCCTGGACACCTTTGCATTCGTGCTTTACTGTAGTTTATCCCAAGGAAACATGATTTCTCAGGCAGTCAATCATTGGCCGTCTCGGTGTTGACTGATAATGTCCCGAGTCCATTTGATCATAGTCTCAGGAGATCGATAGAGAAAGATCAGTTTGGAGTAAAGTTCCTCTTCCAGCTCCAGTTCCCCCGTCTCACGCACCTGAAACACAGACGTGGATTTTAAAGAATCGCTGCTCCAGACACGACTGTTTCGATGTGTATTTAATTATATAACTTTAATTATTCTCTGTTATTGGTGAGTCTACATTAAATGCATGTGTGTAATCATACATGCAGCGCACACTTACCAAGAAGATGTCAGTGCAGAGCTTGAGAATGCGGTCCACACAGGGCAGCTCCTCAAACATGATGGAGTGGGAGATCTCACTGAAGAAGCCACGGACAAACTTCCCAATGACTAAGACCACGGACACATACAGCCCCATGATACTGGAAAGAAGGGGAAAATTACAT